TCAGCAGAGAGACCTCTGACAGTTCAAGGCCTGCCTGGTCTACTTAACGAGTTTCAGGCCAGCTAGAAGTACTTAGTGAGATCCTATCTTTAAAAAGAAATCAGCCAAGCAGTGGTAGCACACGCCTTTAATCCCAGCACTCAGGAGGCAGAGACAGGCAGAATTGAATTCTGTGAGTTCAAGGCCATCCTGGTCTACAGAGTGAGCTCCAGGACAGCCAGGATAGACACCAAAGCTATAGAGAAACCTTGTCTTGAAAAAAAAAAAAAACAACAAAAATACAGGGTTTCTCTGTAGCCTGTCCTGGAACTAGCTCTTATAGACCAGGCTGGTCTTGAACTCACAGAGATCCACCTGCCTCTGCCGCGCAAGTGCTGAGATTAAAGGCGTGCGCCACCATTGCCCAGCATGAAAGATTTCTTAATCACACTAATTGGGAAGATCCTCTCGGGCTGGAGAGATAGCTCAGCCTTTAAAAGCTAGGCTCACAACCAAAGTAAGATCTTCTCACTGGGTGGCACTGTTCTCTGGGCTTGGGGGCCTTGGGCTGGAGAAGTGCAGAGGGCAGCTGAGCAGTAAATGCACGCTACTGGTTGTGATGAGGGTTCGACAGCCCCCACTGAACACACTCACTAGTCTCATGGTACCTTTACCTTCCCACATACTCCGTCTGTCGGGTAGCTGGAGGCCCCTCTGCAGTCTACAGTCTAACCTCCCCCCTCCGCAATGGCACAGATGTTAGTCGCTGTGATTTTTCTCCAGAGGCAACCAGGGAACAGAAGGTGAGGGTGAAGGAATAGTGACAGTGACTGAGCATGTCCCCGAAGTGGGAAAGCTGGAGGAACATCCAGGGCACGCAGGACAGCATGGAGATGGTGGAAGCAATGGATTAAGTGTTCAGATGGAACACTTAAACCAAAGGATGGTTAAAGTCCACACACTGCCTGTTGGTTTGGATGAGGGCTTAAGGGCTGAGACAGAGATGGTGGGGGGGGGGGGATTTATAAGTTGTGGTAACAACATGTAAGCAAGTAGCCTCAGTAGGGAAGATGGCAAAACAGTCAGGTAAGAAAGGTTAAGGGCCAGGTGGTGGCGGCGCATGCCTTTAATCCCAGCACTCAGGAGGCAGAGGCAGGTGGATTTCAGCGAGTTCAAGTCCAGCCTGGTCTACAAAGCAAGTTCCAGGATAGCCAGGACTATTACACAGAGAAACCCTGTCTCCAAAAACAAAACAAAAACACAAAACAACAGCAACAACAAAATAGGATAGGGGGGCTGGAGAGATGGCTCAGAGGTTAAGAGCACTGACTGTTCTTCCAGAAATCCTGAGTTCAATTCCCAGCAACCACATGGTGGCTCATAGCCATTTGTAATGAGATCTGGTGCCCTCTTCTGGCCTGCAGGCAGACATGCAGACAGAACATTGCATACATAATAAATAAATAAATCTTAAAAAAAAAAAAAGAGGTTAAGGAGCAAGGGTAGTGGTGCATGCATGTAATCCCAGCGGTCAGGAAGCTGAGGCATCTGGACGGAGAGGAGGAGGTCAGCTTGGGTGACGGCATAGCTGCCTTCCGCCTTGCTCCCTCCGTGGAGAATTCCGTCCCTGAGGTTTACAGCCTTGTTTCACACAGTTTGGACTCAAAGCAGGAACTCACTTCACAGCTTCATCTCTGCTAATAACTCCCTCTATTGAACAACACTCTACCCGAGATCAAGAGCCGTAATCTTTAAAGAATATAAACAGTTCACAGAAGAGATGCAGACAGACACAGCAACCCTTAAAGAGAGGTCTCAGCTACACAAGGTGGCACATACCTGTAATTACAACTTGGAGCCAGATGAAGGATGGGGAGTTCAGGGCCAGCTTCCCCTACTTAAGACCTTGTCTCAAACAAACACATAAACAAGCAAAACAAATGACTGACTCCGGAGAAGCCCCACCCATCCTTGCTGTGTTCTATTTTCCTGAGCCCTTGTTTTCTACTAGCTGAACATAGCGGACAATGAGGAATACTGAGAATTCAAGAACAATCGCAGTGGGTTTTTGATCCTACTGCACGTACTGGCTTTGTGGGAGCCTAGGCAGTTTGAATGCTCACCTTACAAGACCTGGATAGAGGTGGGCGGTCCTTGGGCTTCCCACAGGTCAGGGAACCCTGATTGCTCTTCGAGCAGATGAGGGAGGGGGACTTGATGGGGGAGGGGGAGGGAAATGGGAAGCGGTTGTGGGGAGGAGGCAGAAATCCTTAATAAATAAATAAATTTAAAAAAAAACTTCATTTACGTCAATGTTCACCATGAGAGATGCTCAGTGGTGAAGAGCACTTACTGCGGTTGCTCTTGCTCCATCTCTAACAGAGGAGGCGGATCCATTCTCAACGCTCAGATGTTGACTCACAGTCATTCATAACTCCAGTTCCACGGGCTCTGCCGCCCTCGCCTGACTTTCACAGGCACACCACTAAGCTTTTAGTCCTTTTTATGCTATAATACACAGGCACACACATTTTGAAATTCTTCTTTAGATTTTACTTATTTTTATTTTGTCTACAAGTGTACCTGTGCACCAATGCATGAAGTACCTGTGGAGGCCTAAAGAGGGCGTCAGATCTCCTGGGAATGCTGTTACAGATAGTTGTGAGCTGCCATGTGGGTGCTGGGAATGAAACCTACATCCTCTGGAAGAGAAGTCGTAACCACTGAGCCCTCTCTCCACCCCCCTTTTTTATTTTTTATTTTATTTTTTTTTTAGTCTGAAGATTTTTTTTTATTTTATTGATATTTATTGAGTTCTACATGTTTCTCTGCTCCCCTCCCTGCCTCTACCCTTCCCCCTTCAACCCTTCCCCAAAGTCCCCATGCTCCCAGTTTACTCAGAAGATCTTGTCTTTTTCTACTTTCTACTTCCCATGTAGATTATATCTACGTAAGTCTCTCTTAGCGTCTGCATTGTTGTCTAAGTTCTATTTTTTTTTAAGGCAGGATCTCATTCTATATCTCTATCTGGCCTGGAACTCAGGAACTTGCTATGTAAACCAGGTTGATTTTAAATTCACAAACCTGCCTAGTCTCCAAATGTTGGGATAAAAGGTGTACATCACCACTCCCAGCTTCTCTACCTAATTTTTGTTTAGTGTGAACTGTCTACAATAAACATGGCTTTTTAAAAGTACCCTGCTGGGTGTGGTAACATACACTTGTGATGCCAGAATTTGAAATTACTGGCAGGAAGATCAGGAGTTCAAGGGCAGTCTGAGCTACGCACCAAGTTCCACACCAGTCTAGACTACTTGAGATCCTGTCTCAAAAACAAACAAAATAGAGGCCGGGCGGTGGTGGCGCACACCTTTAATCCCAGCACTCGGGAGGCAGAGGCAGGCAGATCTCTGTGAGTTCGAGACCAGCCTGGTCTACAAGAGCTAGTTCCAGGACAGGTTCCAAAACCACAGAGAAACCCTGTCTTGAAAAAAAAAAAAAAGAGGCCGGGCGGTGGTGGCGCACGCCTTTAATCCCAGCAGAGGTAGAGGCAGAGGCAGGCGGATCTCTGTGAGTTTGAGGCCAGCCAGCTCTACAAGAGCTAGCTCCAAAGCCACAGAGAAACCCTGTCTGGAAAAACCAAAAACAAGAAAGGATTGTGTGTATCTACAATCTCAGCACTCAAAAGGCAGAGGCAAGAGTCAGGAGTTCAAGGTAATCCTCAGGTATTTGCCAGTTCAAGGTTAGCCTGGGCTACAAGAGATCTTGTCCTTCCCCCAAAGTTCTTTCCCATATGTAATTCCCTAAGTAATACTGGGAAAGACAACGTGCTAAATATAAGTTAACAGTAGTGGGTTAGCCTATTTCAAGGTCGGCCTTGAATTCACAGAGATCTGCCTGCCTCTGCCTCTCAAATGCTAGAATTAAAGACATCATACCTGACTTCTTCTCTTTTTCCTTTCTTGTTCCCTTATCTTAGTCTATTATAGGTTTTCTGCAGCTGTTTTTATAAAAAAATAAGGTTTGGTAAGGTTTGTTTGTTTGTGTGTGTGTGTGTGTGTGTTTTAAAGAAAAATTTCCTCCAGGCATGGTGACACACACACCTTTGATCCTAGTGGTCTGGGGGCAGAGGCAGGTGGGATCTTGTGAGCTCCAGGTCAGCCCAATCTACATAGAAAGTTCCAGGCCAATCATGGTGACACAGTGAGACCCTGTCTCAAAAGAATTTCCCTAAGTGGAGCTGAAGTCTTTCAGAGTGGTATCAATTCTAGTACACAAAGAACTATATACAATATATACATTTTATTGTTATATGTATATGTGTCTGCGTATATTTGTTCTATTGTTTGCCACGCTCTGTAATATGAGTCTATGAATGCATGCGCATGCCAGTGTGTGTGTGTGTATTGTGCCCATGCTTTTCAGGTTCTACAAGGTACACTTCTCTTTCTCCTCGTTTCCATCTACAACCCTCCCGTTTCGTCAAGGTCCTGCAATATGGTTAATATAGGGATATATGAAAATGACTATATGAGGCTTTTATGTCATAACCCCAGATCAGCCACACACAGGTCGTCTCATTTCATACACCTATCTGTACAATGAAAATAAAAACTAATCTTGTTTATGTCGACAGAATTAGTTGAATATAAGATGCTTAGTGCAGAGTAGCATGTAAGTGTTGAGCAGCTTATTAGCGTACTGGGCAAAATGGGCAAAAGTTGCTTGACAAGGTTGTTGCCGTTATTCCCCTCCGTACCACGAGATGCGCTGTCGCTTCTAGCTGAGGTCCTGATGGCGGAAGTTCGTCTAGCTGCGGCCACCGCGCCCAGCATCATAGCCCACTTCGCCTCCCGAGCGCGTCCGCTCCGTGCGGTGTCATAGGTCGATCTTGTCCCAGCGACACGCAGCACCCGGCGTCCTTAATAAGCCACCTTCCTCGCCGGCAGTTTTAGTTTCCCTGACAACAGTGATAGAGGCTTCTTCCGGGAGCCGGCTTCCCTCCGTGACCTCAGAGGTACACTTCCGGGACGCGGAAGTGACCCGTCTGCCCTCCCCTTCCGTCTCTCTCTTTCCGGTGGAGGAGTCTGGAGACGACGTTCAGGTAGGAGGCCCGGCCGCCGAGAATCGTGCGACATCCACTGGTCAGGGACATCTGCGGGGTCGGGGCCGAGGGCTGTGCGCGGTATCCGAGGCAGGTGCGTGGTAGAGGCGGCCGGCCATGCGCTCGGACTCCCGCCGGCCCCACAGGAGCCCAGGGCTGCGCCGTGTCCCGGAGGCGGCCTTCTGGCCTGAGACCGGGAGGTCGGGAGTGGGTGCGGGTCCTGCCGTGGGCCTCGCCGTCCAGCCACAGCCGTCGCGCAGGGCGCTCGGGGAGCGCGTCCCCAGCCGCTAGTGGGCCGGCATCGGCACCCCTTTAGATTGTTACGGGCGGTCGCAGGCCTGCGCCTAACCTCGTTTTTCATGTGAAAAACGCGAGTAGGCTTCTTACTCTGTAAACCGAAGAGTAAAAGGGAGTGTCAGAGAACCGGGTCCCTGTGCGGAGTGCTCCCAATTCGTGGTGGTTCCCTCCCCCGAGTCGGACACATTGCCTGTCGGGGTGCTCCCTAGGAGAGTCGGACTGATGGCCATGTGTTTACATTTCTCGGCATAATCGTTTTCTCATCTCCACTGAGGACAAAGCTATATCGAGTAGACGTCATGCCCCAACGATGTGTACCCCACCGAATCGTGTTGGTTAGCCTAATGTGCGGGGAAGGGCAGGTGACCGTACATCCCCAACCCTGCCCTTGTGCTTTTGGCAAGTAGACCCCAAATAGTGTATAAGGAAGACGTTGGAGAGGTCCCAGGTCTGGTTGAAACCTACTTTTAAGGCCTGGGGTGTTTTTGTGGAGTAGGGGCATCCTATTTGCTTGGATACAGCCTGATTTTTGTGAATGCTGCTCAGCACTAGTTTCTTTCGAAGATGTTGGTAGTTTGTTCTGGAATTTACCCTCAGGTAGGTCAAAGGCCTGCCCGTGGCTTTTGCCAAAAAAAAAAAAGCCTCCTTTTTTGTCTTTCCCCAGGTCTTACATTAAATAACATTATAGGCTAGAGCAGTGCATGAACCTTTCACGGGTCTTGCACAGGAGATACATTTACAGTTCCTAACAATAGCAAGATTAGAGTCACAAAGTAACAACAGTGATTAAAAGGTCACAGCTTTGGGCTGAGAACCACAGAGCTAGAGTTACTTGATCTCCTGAGCACTGGATTTTACACATGGAGATCTTTCCCATTAGACTTCCTGAAAGGCATACCCTGACCATCCTGGAACTTGTTCTGTTGACTAGGCTGGCCTGCATATTAGCAGCTGGAGAGATCCTCCTGCCTCTGACTCCTGAGTGCTGGGGTTAAAGTTATACACCAGCACACTTTGGTATTGCTGGCTCTTTTACTGTTTGCTACTAGTAAAAGTTGGAAGGTTGGTTCTAAAGGGTGAGGCTGTTGTGGGGTGAACTCGTGGATGGGGGGCATCTGGTGGGATACTAAGTGTAGAAGGCTTTGAAGGCTGTGTTGGCAAGGATGAACTGAAAGGGATCTTCCTGCCATTCACCAGTGATCTTGGCCTTGACTTTTTTGTCTTTTAGGCTTCTTTGGGCTCTAAACTGTGGTCTCTGGGGTCCAGGAGACTTAGATTAAATATTGTGTGTAGGCAGAGAATCCCCTCACCTGGTTGTGGTTGTTCACTGCCTTATAGTTTACTTCATTTGTATCACACTGGACAAATAAACTTCCAGGCTCAAGGAAGGGGAGTTATGAGTGGAACTTGGGCCAGGACATGAGCTCTGTGTTTATTTTGGATAGCTGTTTATGAAAAAGATGCATGTGGTAGTTTCTGGGACAGTGGGCTCATCCAAAAAATGCTTTGAGCTTTAGTTGAGAAATTGTCTCTTCTCTTGGCACCTCCCTTTTAGTTACGGCTCAGTAACTTCCCCAAGTAAAAAGAGGTAGGATATTAGGGAGCCAGAGGAGGAAAACCTGGGTTTTCCTTTAGTACGTTGAGAAAGAATGTTCTGGACCCTTTCGTCTGTTAACATTGAGGTTCTCCTTCCATTTAGAGATGGCACCTCGCAAGGGGAAGGAAAAGAAGGAAGAACAAGTCATCAGCCTTGGGCCTCAAGTGGCTGAAGGAGAGAATGTATTTGGCGTCTGCCACATTTTTGCGTCCTTCAATGACACCTTTGTCCATGTTACCGATCTTTCTGGCAAGTGAGTACTTCGGCGAAAAGACATAAAACTAAGCCTCAAAAGGACTGATGTGGGAGGAATTGTATTAATAAGGAGTTTGCCTATAAAGGGTCTTTGGACACCTGTAAATACAAACAGCTCTTGTCTTGTTTAGAACCGGGATATATGCTCAAAGTAATGAGCCTGTCATACCTAAGCTGTTAACAGTGTGCCCATTGGTGTCAGTAAGTGTTCCATGTCTCCTTGTTGGAAAATGAAGGCACGGTTCTGCTTTTGTCTCTAGGGAAACCATCTGCCGGGTGACTGGTGGAATGAAGGTCAAGGCTGACAGAGACGAGTCCTCTCCCTATGCAGCCATGTTGGCTGCCCAGGATGTGGCCCAGAGGTGCAAGGAGCTGGGCATCACCGCCCTGCATATCAAACTCCGCGCCACAGGAGGAAACAGGTATGGGAAATCCACTGGTGGGGGGCTGGATTTGAGATTTGATATGTCTGAAAGCAAACTGTTGTAGGCATGTATGTTCCTAGTTAGGCATAGTGGCAGATACCTGTAAGCCCAGCACTCAGGAACCCACGTGAGAGGATCTAGAATTTGGGGTTAGCTTCGGTTATACAGTGAGCCTCTGCCTTAAAAAAAGATAATTTGTTCCTTTATGTTTATGTTCCTTTATGTAGAGTGCTTTTGTAGCATATATGAGCCCAGCTTTTTGTTCCCCAGTACCGTTTAGCCTGGGTATGGTAGTACGCACTTGTCTGACAGTGGAAGGGGGGGTTAAGGGTTTCAGGTTGGTTATTGGTTGCATAATGAGTTTGAGGCCACCTTGAGCTAAACACTGCTGCTTAAATGATGCACTGGGGTGCATAGTCCAGATAGAGACAACTGCAAGAGGAGCTTCTTCAGGTGAGAAAGAAGTTGGGCATTAAAGGAATGAATGATAGGCGTGAAGTGTGAGTCAAGAAGCAAGGGATGGAGCCTCGCTTTTTTGTTTGTTTTTCGAGACTGGTTTTTCAAGACAGGGTTACTCTATAGATTTGGAGCCTGACCTGGAACTAGCTCTTGTAGACCATGCTGGCCTCAAACTCATGAGATCCTCCTTCCTCTGCCTCCCGAGTGTTGGGATTAAAGGTGTGTGCCACCACCACCTAGCAGGGTCTTTATGTCTTACGGAGCAGAGCAAAGATGGGCATGAAAACTAGACTAGGCTGGCTACTGATTGGAAAGATGCTAGACAGGAAGCTGTTGGATTGGTCCCTGCAAAAGATGCAGGAGCCAGAAAGTAGGGATCAGCAGCAAGGGGAAGGACAGCAGGACAGGCGACTGTGTTGCATGAGAGCATTTTATACTCCCCCCCCCCCCTTTTTTTTTTCCTTAAGGATTTGTAGGCATGGTGGTGCATATCTTTAATCCTAGAATACCTCTGGCCTGCCACCCACACAGACACAAAAAAGGGTGGAAAATACCTGGTGGTGGCGGCACACACCTTTAATCCCAGCACTCAGGAGGCAGGGTGGGTCTCTGAGTTGGAGGCCAGCCTGGTCTACAGAACAAGTTTCAGGATAGCTAGGACTGTTACACAGAAGCCCTGTCTTGAAAAACCAAAAAGGAAAAGTAGAAGAAATTACGCAAGTGTGTATGCGTGCCCTGTGGAGGCCAGAAGAGAGCTGTGAATCTCTTGGAACTGGCATTGCAGGTGCTTGTAAGCTACCTTGTAGGTAGCGGGGACAGAACCAAGAAACAGGCCTTCTGCCATCTCCAACCCTCAGCGATTTTGAAAGGATTTTTTGGGGGGAGTCATGTAATAATAAAATAGTGACCACAAAGTGTCACAAAATGTGGCCCCCTCACAGACTATTCATATCTTTAACTATAGGCTCTTCCCCACCCCCATTCAGAAATGAATTAAAACCATATGAGTTTTAGAAACATTCCCACTGATTTGGCCAACAATCCTTCATTTTCTAGGACCAAGACCCCTGGACCTGGAGCCCAGTCAGCCCTCAGAGCTCTTGCTCGCTCAGGCATGAAGATTGGGCGGATTGGTAAGTGCCCCGTCTAGCTAAGGTTTGGGTTTATTCTAAAGCATTCATTGACCCCTTCCAAACCATGTGATGTGCATACATGGTTCGGGCTTGTCTGGTGGTGGTTACTTTTGTTAGAGGAACCTGTAGAGACATTGTAAGAGTTGATCTCCGTAAATGCCGCTCTGATACATCATGTTTTCCCCATCTGCGGTGGGAAAGCCTAAACCCTTCTGAATCTGATTTCAGCAGCCTTTGTCCCTGATTACTAAATATTAGAGCATGCTCCTTGGGCCAGTCCAAGTTGCTCAGTGTAGGTAGGGGCACTTTCTGTTAGTCAGTAGGCTCTGAGTTAGGAACCTGAGTGTGTCCTTCCCCTCCGATGTTTATGTGCCTTCTTATAGCCCATGTCCCCTTCTAATGTGAGTTGGGATGAGGAAATGGGCAGGTGGGGGGGGGCTTGTTTGCTGACTACTGGGATACATTTGGGCAAGAATGAATTCTGCTAGTTAGTCTCATTGGCTGGGAAGGCCTGTGTCTTCAGGCAATGACATTTTTCTTCTTCCTTCTCACAGAGGATGTCACCCCCATTCCCTCTGACAGCACCCGAAGGAAGGGAGGTCGTCGTGGTCGCCGTCTGTGAACAGGACTTCTCAAATTATTTTCTGTTAATAAATTGCTTTGTATCAGCTGTTTTGGTCCTTTTGTTTTTCTTAATTGCTTTGAGGCAGGGTCTCCATAGCCCTGGCTTCTTGGTACTCACTGTGTAGATGGACCCAAACTCAAGAGATCCACCTCTCTCTGCCTCCCAAATGCTGGATTTAAAGGTGTAGACTACCAGTCCTGGTATTTGTTGTTACTCTCAATTTGAAACCTGCCTCAAAAACCAAGGCAGTGTGTTTCGGGAGATGTAAAGACACTGTGCAGAGCACAAGCAGGCCTTTTCGGCTTCTCGTGTCTATTGGGCAGGTCTGGGTTTGCAGACTGGTTTTCTGAGCATGGAACCCGAGAAGAGGTGCTGAGGCTGCAGCTTTGGCATTTGCCAGCCAGCACTGTTTGAAAGTGGGACCGCTGATAGATAGCACAGGCATTGGGGCAACTGGCCTCGGCCGGCAGGGCAAAAAACTCACAGATTGAAAGCATAGCCTACATAGGGAATTCTAGGCCCGGCAGGTCTTCATAGCAAGACTGAAGCAGCCACAGAAGTGAAGCTGTTTGGATCGTCTAAACATGGACAGGTTTCACTGTAGCTCAGGCTGGCCTCAAACTTGTGTCAATTCTCTTGCCTTGGCTTCCTTTCGTTCTGGATTGCAAGTGTGAAATAACAGTTTGGTTCTTTGTTTGTTTAATTTTCAAGACAGGGTTTCACTATCCTGGAGCTAGACCAGGCTGACCTCCAACTCAACAATAATCTGCCTGCCTCTGCCTCCTAGTGCTGGGATTAAAAACCCAT